TTTAATTTCTGAATGGAATTTAAATGGAATTGATCCCAACCCTGGTGCCTAGTATGTGTTATTTCTTTGCTCGTATTGCTTTTGCTGTAAATACACGGTCCCTGCAGATCAGATGTGAACCCTTTTGAATAACGGTTTTAGACAAGGAGATATCGTTATAACAATTCAGGGGAAGTTGCATGGTTTAGGGAAGGCTGTGTGTAAGTGAAGTCAGCAATGGCAGATAATAGTGTGACAGATGAAGTCACTTAAACAATTGGATGTGAAAGACTTCCATTTGAGTCTCTACTGATGCTGAGGTAATACAATTTCATAGTCAAATTGCCCCTATCTCCCAAATCAATATGTACATTGAGATTATAGTCAAAGTCATGCCTGGCTGCCTGCGTTTACGGCCTTGATGACTCAAATGGAGTATAAACCAAAAGCATACACACTAAATTGCCAAACCTATTGCCAAAGATATTATATTTTAACCCTGTGTGTTAAAACTGTAAACCCTTGTTGTGTCCATTTGTCAAATGTATTAACAACTTGCATACTGCAATTTCTCTGGAGCAATAGTGTAGCTTCTATTTATTTGAAGACCATACATGTTAGAGTGTTAGTGCAAGAGACTGTGCAGCTAGTGTAATAGTACTGTACATTGTATGTATGAATTTCGATTCAGGATGAAAATATTATTATATTATATTATACATGCAATATGTGGTGTACCAATGTATGTAGTAACTTGGCCAGTTATGCTCAACAAATCAGCAGATACACAAATATATTACATCCACCTCCAACCTCCAGGAAAGCCTTGAAAGTATGATGAAATGATGATAATACATGCATTACGGTTTATTTTGTAATATATTAATATTTTTTGATAGTTTGATAAACCTAGAATTCGAGTAGAATGCATGCATTATTGATGGGAGTAGAGAAATAGCTGAATTTATTTAGTAAATTAACTGAGATTGTTTCCTCTTTTGTTTCCCTATTAATTACAGAGAAGCTCTCCTATTTTTTACAACATACAAACTGGTTTTTTATTAGAGGCCTAGGAGATTTTCAACACCCAATCAAACATCTTGCTTGAACACTGGCATGTAGTTTACCATGATGCAATATCAATACCTCCAGTACAACAACAGACACATATTATGCAGACACATGCTCAAATAGCCTAGTCGTCACGTCACAGAGTACTACACAAAATCTATCAGTTATTTTCCTTGGTCTCAAAGAGCGTATAAATGCAATAATTCCAGTAGGATTCCACATTTTAGCACATGTTCTGTAGGATATTAAAATAATGGTAATGATTGTGAAATGTTGATGGGTAATACTATTCTAAATGGAGAATGAGAACCAGATGATGATGATATGATAGCGGTGATTACGATGGGGATTAAACCTATATTTCCTTGCACACTCCCTCCCCTGCCCCCAAAGCTCCTTGTGTAAATCCAAATGGTTATCTTGTGACTTGACCTGACCTTTATTAAAGGCAATGAACCAGCTTGCATAGACTAAAGGGTCTCTTTGATGGATGTGCATCATTTTGTGTCCTACACTCCCCACCAATAGAATTAGCTAGGGTTCATTGTGTTGAGGTTGATGCACTCCTTTCATTGTTTCCTTCCCTCCATCATAACTGGTATGAATAGGACTGACTGACTATAGGCTGTATAATGTCCACCATTCACATGTTAGCGGTCATGAAAAGGAGACAAATTGTAGAAGCCATAAAGAAGAAATAGGAAATATCCAGGGGCTTTTAAATGTTATTATCATGCTGACCAATAAGGTTTCTAAACACCCTGCTGTTTTAAAAATCTGCATTCTCAAAGAGATACAGTAGCCAGTTCCAGATTCATGTGAATCTAGTATTGGACTAGTTCAAAATAGAAAACTGAGGGGGGAGTCATATTCTAAACAGAGCCCTAATATCTACCATGAAAACAACAATATGTTAAGGTAAATGGAGCTATGAACAGGGGCGGTGTGTTCATTAGGGCGATATGGGCGACGCACTGCCAAACGGGAAAAGGAAGGGATTTTTTTTCTAATCAATTATATCACGGCAACAGTAGTTATCAGTGTTCTAATCTAGAAGTCTGATCTGCCACTAAATGTCCAATCAGGCTAAAGTCGTGCTTCAAATGGCCCCGCCCCTTTTGGGGCGATTTCAGTCAGGTTGAAAACCGCCCCAGAAGTCTCTCATAGACTCTCATGTAAAATCTTTTTTTTTCAAATATCAGAGCTTTCAATAGGTTCCGGGAGGGCTTGCACTTACGCGCTTCGTCATACGTAACATAACCATGAACGTAACTAAGAAAAGAGCGGGTAGCAGCGTCAATCAATTCACGTACTACTGTCAAGATGGCTAGCGTTCAGTGCAACTCGATTGTCTCTTTGAAAGAAGTTCCTTTTTGTCGGCGAACAAATCAAGATAAATTGGCAACGAAACAATTAGGACCTCCCAGACCAAATTTAATAATTCAACAGGTTTCTACTAAAGGGGGAAAGTCCTACACCCGAGGATTTTCCAAAAATTGGTACGAACGAAAAACCTGGCTAGCAGGCTGCGATGTAGCTAATGCAGTCTTCTGCTACCCCTGCTTACTCTTTCACCCTGAAGGCGGCACGGCAGACAGCACCGCTTGGACAGCGACTGGTGTAACGGACATGCACCATCTTTCAGAAAAGATTAAGAAACATGAGCTGTCAAAGACCCACATGGATAGCTGTTTGAGATTGTCTGCTTTGGGGAGAGTGAACATTGCCACTCAACTGGATGAGGGATACAGGCTAGCTGTCCGCCGCCACAACGATGAGGTTAGCAAGAACCGCCACATCCTCAGCCGGCTAATCCAGTGTGTGAAGTTTTGCGGAGTGTTTGAGTTAGCTTTGCGAGGCAAAGATGAAACTGAGGGCTCCACCAACCCTGGTATTTTTCTTGGACTTGTCAACTTTGTGGCACAATTAGATGAGGTGTTTTATGGAAATGCATATTGTTTATGCAGTGTTGAGGAATGTGAAAGAACACCCTTGATTATTTTTACTGTGATAACTTATTTTGCTTTTGTAAGCCAACACTTTTGAGATCAGTCAATAAATGCTTCTGGTATTGACTTATATGCTGCCCCTGCCTTCATGTTGTTGCTGGACATATCTTTTTTTAAATGTGTGTAGGTCACCTAAATCATCAGAAAAATTTCCCCCCCTGAGAATTTTTTCAGGAGCCGCCACTGGCTATGAATGAGGCTCAGCTCATTCAATTCGATCAAACCTTTCTAGTATCCCCTGTAACGTTGCAGGCCCACGAACATGCCCTAGTATTGAGGGAGGGCCGACGCGCGTTAGCCTAGCTGCAAACTAGCTACATTTTCTTCCGGTGTGCTTTCTTGTCTGTTTGCAAGGGTTACTGCAGAACATCTCCTACTTTACAGTGAGTCGATAACTACTTTACTGTTTGAGTCTCTATTTCGCCATGATATAAAACACATATCTAGTTGTTTTGTGCTAACACTTTTTGGTTAACTAGCTAGCTATATGCAACGGATTTGAAAACGTGTGCGCTAGCTAGTACTGTAGCTAGCTAGCACGCCTGTTGACATGCCCGCGCTAAGACTGAGCGTCAGTAAACTATAGCTGGCAAGTTAGCTACAAAATTGATAGTCTATGCATTTTCGTTTAGTTATGCATTTTTCATTGAATATCTAACGTTTTCTTTAAGCCACCCTTCTGCCGTTGGCTGGCTAGCTTTGCTAGCATGTCACCTGCTAAACTGTTAACATTTACATTTAAGTCATTTAGCAGACGCTCTTATCCAGAGCGACTTACATGAGCAATTAGGGTTAAGTGCCTTGCTTAAGGGCACATCGACAGATTTTTCACCTAGTCGGCTCGGGGATTAGAACCAGCGACCTTTCGGTTACTGGCTCAATGCTCTTACCCACTAAGCTACCTGCCGCCCCTACATTAACTACATTTGTCATTTAGCAGACGCTCTTATTCAGAGCAATTTACAGTAGAGTGCATACATTTTTCGTAATTCTGTTGCTAATTTGTTTACAGGGCCCCAGTCGATCGGATCAAAATGATTATCCCGGTCCGGTGCTTCACCTGTGGGAAAATCGTTGGGAATAAATGGGAGGCATACCTTGGCCTCCTTCAAGCTGAATACACTGAAGGGTTAGAGACTCATGTTTGCTGTGGTCATTGTTTACATTGTATTTCCCTAAGATGAATCCCTTTCTCAAAATATATTGGTGTTAACTTATTTAATCTGATATTATTTAGTAGCTACATACATAGGCTACACCTGATAAACATATCACAAACTCTCCTGTCTCCTCCCTTTTGTCTGGTTGGCAGTGATGCCCTTGATGCTCTTGGTCTGAAGAGGTATTGCTGTCGGAGGATGCTGCTGGCCCATGTAGACCTCATTGAGAAGTTGCTGAATTATGCACCCCTGGAGAAATGATGGATACAACATAATACAAGAACCATCTGGCTTATTTATAGGCAAGCCCAGGCTGACTGCCAGTGAAGCAGTGCACCCTGCTGGATTGACATCCTCAAGAGACTTTTCACACCTTGTTTGAATTGTACACGTTTGTTGTTGTTGAATAAAGCAACAAATACTTCATTTATAATAAGTGCTTTGTAAAGCAGAGTCAAATTTCTGTAATATGGTTTCTTTGTGTTGGCTCAGTGACCTAGTTTCACTTCGTCTCGCATGCACTCTGCATCTGAGAGAACATAGAACCCTGCTAGGCAAGGCTCATTTCACTAGTGTCTTCTGAATTCCTGCTGCTTTATCAGGCAAAACATGGTTTTATTTCAATCAATAAGGTTACAGCCACTTGCCATGTCATTTACATTATTGTGTAAATAAAAATGACAGTAAGCCAACCCCTTTAAGCAGCATGGGTCAGGCAATGAAAACGACCTGGTCCTCTAGTGTAACAATCCCTTTTTGCAATCAACACACTTGTTCCAACTCATTTTAACAGCCTTTTTTAATCAGTTCAAATTTGATACAAAAGAAGGGGGAAGAGGAAAAAAAAACACTGCACAGTTCAACATATAAAAATTTACCTCTGCTTTGTGCATGCAGGTGTGGCAAACAACAAAAGTTGCAGCCACAACCCTGAAACCGTCAATTCATAATCAAAAAATTAAATTACAAAGACAGTATCACTGTGAGAAAGAGGGGGTTGGTGATGGCTGAGATCAGAAGATTATGATGAGAAGGTAAAATGCTTGGTGGCTGCTGAGTACCAGGGAAATGTGAACGTGGGGGCAGTAGGTTGTGGAGATGGGGGGGCTATGGACATTCATTTTGTCTCACCATCAGTTCATCCATTATCCTAGACTTTTAAGCAGCTTGGCGCAGAAATAAAGTCCTGTCTCCCATCCTACTCAGCCTGACAGGGACAAAGACAGCCTAGAATGTCCTGAAAAGAACAGACAAAAGTTCTGTCAGGAGTACGTTAATACAAGGGGTTGACTGAAAAAACAGGTGCTTGGCAATTAGAGGTGGTGGTGTATTTCAGGATGTGAGTAAGTGGTGGTGGTCTGGAGATGAGGGGATTACAGAATTAGAGGGGAGACGTGTTGGAGATATGACAGGGTCAGAGAGCTTACCTAGCGGTGCCGCTCGCGGTGCTCCCTATGTCTATCTCGTTCCCGAACCCGCTCCCGGTCTCTCCCATCTCGCTCCCCACTTAGGGAGCGTTCTCGGTGCCGGCGGGACATTCCTGCAGCCTCCCATTCCTGGCTGTAGGACTCTTCCCTTTCTTCCCTTCCCCTGCCTCTGTCCCGTTCTCTGTCCCGCTCCCTATCTCGGGAACGGTGTTCTCTGTCACGGGAACGGTGTCTTTTCCTACAAAGAGAGAGCAAGTGAGAAGTGAGGCCACATTACAATTTCCGTTTGTGATGAAAGAACGGTCCATGAGAGGTCCAAACAATTTTTCCAGCACTGACCTGGAGCCGTATGACTTGCTCTCGATGGAGAAGAGGCAGTCTTTCAGAGAGGTGACCAGGGCTCGACAGCGCTCGTCCCCATACACTCTTGACTGCTTGATGACAGCAATGGCAGTCAAAAGGGTCTCAATGGCCAGGGGCAGGTCTCCTACAACAGCAGGATTTAAGATGACCATGATCTGCATTGTGTACTGCACATGTCAATGTCTTTGGGTCTCTAGTCTAGATTTATCATCATGAATCTGTATTTGAGTGTCTACTGTAGGCATTTTTCAGTGAGAGTCTAACCGGCAGTAGCTCCAGACACAGCCTTGGTGATGGCGCTGCTGGCGATGGCTCTGTTTCTGTTCATCAGCTCATCAAACTCTCCCTCTGGCATTTGGGGTGTGGGAGCTTCACTGTCCCTACTGCTAGAGAAAAAAACACTCCCTTACTGATCATCATCATACATACATATCCTTGTGATAGACATGTTTACCAATTAATACAAAATCATTCCATAATATAAAGTACAGTGGATGAGCTCACTTGTGCTGGTTGTACGATGTGTTGTGTTGTTGACTGTAGTTGTTGTGTTGTGCTGGAGGAAAGAAGGCGGGGTTGAGATGCAGGGAGGGAGGAGGATGGCTGGGGAGACGTAGAGGTGGTGGAGGGAAAAGGTGGGGCATGGGGGGAGGGGGAAGGTGGGGGGGAAGGTGGGGGAAAAGAGGAGGAGGCAGACTAAAGTATGGGACTGACAGAGGGGGAGGTTTGTTGTGAATGTGTTGGGGGTGGATAGTGTGCGGGACAGTGGAGTGGTTCTGGTTGAGCACAGGAGGGGAGACAGAGGCTTTTTTGCCCCCAGTATCTGACGACTCCTTTGAGTTAGAGCGCTGGGGGACACCTACGGAAAAGGAGGAGGGACAGTTTGATTTTGTTTCAATGGCAGCATTGGATATCACTTCCGAGAAAGACTTGAGTACCTATTTATTTACTGTATGTAGATGTGCGCTTACGTTTATTAGCCTGGGCTTCAAACACAGCAAGATTCTGTCGTGTGGCAAAGCGGCAGTCCACCTTTTCTCCATTAACATGACAATTTGGCAAAGTCTCCAGCAACCTCTGCAATGACTCTTCTGTGGCCACCACTACCTCAGCGTATCTATAGAGAGTAAAATATAAATATCAGCTAGTATACGTTATGTTACCAGCTGGATAGAAAATCTATTTCAGAGCTTTGAAATGCCTTCACAACATAATCTACTAGCCATCAGTAGACCACCAGAGCAGCCCTGTCCAGTTCTTCAGGGTCTGGAGACAACACTTTGGCTCTGGATCATGCACAGATAATAAATAATAAAACGTTGGTAGTCATCTGTAAGATCTGTATTTAGCTTAGCTACTGGCACATCATATTTATTTTAAGACTAACTTGACTCAATAGGTGTCTGTTACCAGGTCTCCCTAGAACACTATGACCAGATCCAGTCATGAAATGGCGAAACACCCAGTTAATAAATAGTGAAGAAATAGATCACATTAGATTAGAATGATGCCCACTGGATAGGCCTAACTCTCACCCCCTGGACTGGCCATTAGCTCTGTTCTCAGCAAATTTTATCTCCACAATGTCCTTCACGCCCAAGGTGCGCGCCACGTTAATAAGGTCTTTGTCGGAGGTCCACTGAGGAGAGGGGTAAAGGAAGACAAGGGAGAGAAAGAGGGAGAAGATTAGTAAAAATGAAGGATAGGGATAGAAAGGTAATAGGTCTACGTGGCTGTATCTCATTACAGAACATATGCTAATATATTAGCAAACTGGACTGAAGGTAATGGTGGTGGTGGGAGACTCACCCAGGAAAAGTTGCCCACATATACAGCCAGTCTCTTGTTCCACACCCCACTGTAAGTGTACAGTATTGTTGGTTTGCTCTCCTCTTTCGTTGGCTGGTCCTTGCTGAGAGGGATAGCATCCTCTGAGAATTTCCTTTCCCGGCTCACAGAGCCAGTGAGCACATCATCATAAAGATCACTTGCCTCTGCCGTCGTCGCAAAATCTCCATCCTATAGAGAGAAGATGGACAGAAGATAGACATCATCCCTCAATGCCTAGCTACATTCTATCACTCACAATGACCATCCCTGAAGAATCAGACAAACTACGAGAGAACACTAACCGCCACATCTGTATTGTTGATATCATGGATATTAAATTGAATAGTATGATTTGTTAACATTATATACTCTAAATGTCGCTATTGACATTCATTCATGTAAAATGTTGACATGCTAAAATCAAACAACCTCATCCAACAAGTTATTTTAGTTCCCACTTCAAGAATCTTCTGCATTCGCTTTCAGCTTCTCACAACTATTCATGTCTACAGCTCTTTCCATAAGCTCTCTCGGCCTGTCTTACCTCCCCGTTGTTTTGACTGAAGTTCTCGTCGTAGATGTCTATGAGGTCAGTTGCACCACCACCATCCGCCGCTTTAGCCGCCATCCCGAGTCCTGGTTGGCACTGCAGCCTGTGGCTACGTTAGCAACGTTCTCTCAGCAATCGACACTTGGCAATAAACGCAAGGAAATAACTAAACGTGCATGTTTTGCACCTTTCCGTGCGTCTATGTTTTATTGATGTAGCTAGTCCAGCTAGCTAACGTTACCCAGTTAGCCCCGCAATATTGTTGAACTAGCTAGCGAACGTTAGCCAAATGGCTAGCTAGCATCACCTCGCATCTCCAACCCTTGCAGGGAAGCTGGCGTGGACGGAATACCAAAGGCAAACAAATAAATTACCAACCCGGATTAAAAAGTCGACAAATTTTATACTTTCAAAATGTGATATAATTGTAATTAAGTCCGCATGCAAAAACGGATAACATTCAGGTAAGCACTCAGCTAGCTTGTTGCTGCTACATCAGAACAGAAGCGGAATCGAGGAGTGCATCTTTCAAATATCTCCGGTGTGAAACAGGCATGATATCACGAGGTTCCACAGAAATTGTTTAGCTATCAGCTAAATAATATATGTTGTTACATACGTGAATATATAATGTAAATATTTGACATGTTGATACAATTATTATTGTTTAACATTCATTTCAAGAACCATTTGGAAGAAGTAATAATTGCCCTCACCAATATAGCGCCAATTATTTCTCCAAACTAGAGGACATTTCCTGCTGTAGCCATCTGTTATTACGCGACTGTCTTTGGCTAGCAGGGACTTGTGTAATTTAGGACACTGGTTACTCTCGTGTCAACAAGAACAGTCACATCAGGATTCAGCAGTCACAAGGAAGAAATACACAATGCTGTCTGCTCTCGTTGCTAAAAGAGTGAGTAGTATTTGGAATACACTATATATTAGGCTACACGGACTATCTGAGTTAACCTTGTATCCTCATTAAAATTTTAATATTAATTTTTGTACTGTCTCTATCCACACTCACAGGGCCCGACATTCACACTCGCTCACTCACAAATAATATGCACATACATTTATATTGACTACACACGCACACCCAACCACCCACATACAAGCGGCTGCTACTCTGTTTATTTTATATCCTGATGCCTAGTAATCTTATCCCTATACATATCTACCTCCATCACTCCGGTTTCACAGCACATTGTAAATATGGTATTGGAACCGACTCAGTATATAGGACGCTTACTTATTGTGTTCTTCATATTTCTTCTTATTTCTCGTGTTTTTGTTCTAGTATTAGCAACATTGTTATTGATTATTGCATTGTTGGGTTTTGAGTTTGTAAGAAAGGCATTCCACTGTACTTGTGCATGTGACATTGAAACGTGTTAGTACAGTCAATTGAATTTAGTAGCGAGATAGATAGATAGCTAGATAACTAATGTCAAGGCTGGCAAGCTAGCTAGTTGGCTAGAAATGCTGTATATTCTGACTGAAGCTAACTAAAGTTTGCCCATAAACCTAGTTGACTACTGAGTTTGAAAGTAATGTTCTGCTCTCTCTTTTCAAACTGAATGGTAAAGTTGTGTAGTATATGAAGGTACACTTGTGCAACCATACAATGGTTGGACATGGGAGGGCAGCAGATAATGTTATGCAACCAACCTCTTGTTTTGTAGCTAATGGTTGTTAGCTGTCTGGCAAGGGCAGCAGTCCAATTAATACATAGTGGTAGCTAGCTAGGAACAATTATGCTCAAGGTACGCTTCTGTCGGACTGTCATCTGAATTAGCCTATGATCTTTGCCAGTCAGACTTGTGAGTACCCTACAGGACAGTCATTGTAAGCTACTTTTCTAGCAATTAAACTATAATTAAAACCATCTCCTTGTTCAAATCAAATCACAATGTTGTCCAGTTGTTGGTAATGATGATGATGATGATGATGATGTTGTTGTTTATCTTGTCCAGCTGGTAAGCGGGGTATGCCAGGCATCATGGAGACCAGCTGTGGCAGAACTAATGACTACACGGGGTTACAAAGGAGAGGCACCTGATGACTCTAGGGGTGACCTAATTGAGATCCCCCTGCCCCCCTGGACAGAGAAGGATGGCGAGACCATGGACATCAAGAGACGGCGCCTGCTCTTCCAAAGCCGAAAGAGGGGCATGCTGGAGAATTGCATATTGCTCAGGTGACTGGACCACTAATCATACTGTATAGATTTTTGTATTGATTTTAGTCTTCTATTTAATCCAGAGCAAAGCTCATACTATGATAGAGCCCACAATGCAGATAGAAGGAATTTATAAACCGTCAGTTTTAAGGACAGGCAGCATATTCGTGGTCAGTGGCAGAGGCATGATTTAATTATAGTGTGCAACTTACAATATGTGTATCTGAGTCTTGGACATGTCTCAAAACCATACACTTGCACATGCACATGTGGTCCTCTGTAGCTCAATTGGTAGAGCTTGGCGCTTGTAACGCCAGGGTAGTGGGTTCGATCCCCGGGACCACCCATACGTAGAAATTTATGCACACATGACTGTAAGTCGCTTTGGATAAAAGCGTCTGCGAAATGGCATATTATTTATTATTATACCAATCAAATTGTCTTTCCCCTTTCAGCCTGTTTGCCAAGCAATATCTTAATACAATGAGCGAGCCCCAGTTAAGACAGTATGACAGACTGATCAACGAGCCTAGCAACGACTGGGACATCTACTACTGGGCAACAGGTGAGGAGAGTGGTTCAGCTTCATATTCTCTTATCAACTGTGATTATCCACTCTGATCTACACCAGGGCAAGCAAAGCCATATAATACTATTAGTTATACTGTTGTTTAGAAACAGTTCTTATTTTCAAGCTGATCTGCTGACTTCCTTAGCATTATGGTGAGCTAATAATGCTATATGAGATATAAAATGTAAGTTGAAGTTAACTGAATGTGTGTTGTCTTTCCCTCATCTCAACAGAGGCCCAGCCTGTACCTGATGTGTACACAGGTGAGATCATGGACCTGCTGAAGGAGTTCACTAAGAACAGGGATCAGGAACAGAGGCTGGACGCACCCAACCTGGAATACCTGGACAAGGGGAGCCAGTGAAGCCTGGCTGACACATCCCTCTCAGGGTGTTTTCATATATAGTCCTCTTTAAAATAACTGATCTCAGGCCTCTTTAAAGTGAACTCTGGGGTTAAAAAAAGCAAAAGATCTCAGTTCTCTTTTTATTCACACTGCCCTTGCCTTTGTATGAGGACTCAACTCTTTTGCCAGTTCACTTCACCTATTTTGTTGTCTGAGTCCTCTTTGCATTCACATTGCTATGTTTAGAAAGGAACCAAGATCTTTTTCCAACATTCATTCAAAGCACTGTGGGTTTTTACAAAGTGCAGGACAAGCCATTCCATCAGAATGAGTTATCGGACAGCTATATATTTTTATTTTATTTAACCTTTTTTTAACTAGGCAAGTCTGTTAAGAACAAATTCTTATTTACATTGACGGCCTACCATATACCATATACCTACTTACATTTTGGAAGCTAATAGATTGCATTTAGTTAAAAGGTGAGACAAAATAATTGTAATCAGAAGATACCATTAACATGTAAATATTATTGGTAACAGAATAAATGGCAGAAGAATAACTGCAGATTAAATAATGCCGTAATTGAAAATGTTACACACATTGTAGGCTACTGCCCCTTTTTAAGAGCTAGAATAGATTTTGTACCTTATGTTGTGATTTTTACCAAGTTATGTTGTCGTCTTCTCACACTATTCAAACCCCACAATCGAATAAACAGCGTATGAAGCTCTCTTCGCCTATAGATCACATATTGCAAAAAAAGTATCTGATCTAAAAACTCCACGCATATTTTTAAAAATCAATATCCTAAAACAGCACATGTTTTTGCCGTGAACCAGCACATCATAATTGTATCTAATTTGTGGCACCAATGGGAGGGGCAATTGCAGGGGAAACGGTGTTGCAGTAGTCTAGTGTGTGGTGCGCGAATAATGACAAGCGAACCTGGGGAGCTTTTGTGTTCAAATTGCCCTAAAAAAGGGAACCCGACCGCGGAATTCAAGCGAATCGAACTCAGACCACCTCTCGAGATAGTCTTAAATTCGGTTAGTGTCGGGGGCTCTTTGAGTGGTCTGAGTTCCTTTGGAGTGTTCACACAATCACACTGCTCAAAAAATTAACACCCTCAGAGAATGCTAATGGTTCTCATCATAATTAACCAGACAAACCCACCTCCTGGACAAGGACAATTCCTGCAGCAAGCCATTGCACTACATGCATATTTCTATCACTGCCCTTATTCATAAGACCTTCAACACATAATGAAAATAATTACTTTAGTACACGGATGTGTGAGTTAACTATACTGAACAAAAATATAAACGTAACATGTAAAGTGTTGGTCACATGTTTCATTAGCTGAAATAAAATATCCCATAAATGTTCCATACGCACAAAAAGCTTATTTCTCTCAACTGTTGTGCACACATTTGTTTACATCCCTGTCAGTGAGCATTTCTCCTTTGGCATTTCGACCCAGGTGCTTGGGTGGGTTGCAGTGTCAATGCATGGACACCAGGGGGAAGCAAAACTGCTCTTTCATTCCCTTTTTGCACCTCAACTGCACATCACTGCTAATCACAGGTCTAATTTAACATACTGGGAATACAGATTCAAAAACATGAAGCTCAATACTCACTCTTAAATGCAGAGATGTAGGCACCAAAACAGTCAATAGTTAAATTATATAAGGTTACTGAGGGTTGCACTGGCAAGCTATGGACAACCATCAATGTCCTTGATGTCTGTAATTAGCTTTCAGCTCAGTAACTCAGGTTAAGATGATTCATAATGTATCTAGATATCTGCATAAAATTAATAGGTAAGGCTCTCCTTTCACCATGAATTAGTAAACATATGAAGACGTGGCTATAATGAAAGTGTATCAGGTGTGTAAGTGGGTGCACCTGCTGGGCATAATGTTTGTGCGAGTGTGTGTGTATGTTTGCACCCTGTGTGTTTGCTGGGCTGCAAGCTAGTGAGTGGGAGTTTATGAGTGTGTCAGAGTGTCAAATAGTATCAGTACTTAAATTGCTGATTTTATTTGCCCTGAAGCACATAAACAGTGTTTCTTTCTCCCTCTCCCCCTGCCACCACAGTTACTTGTGTTGACAGTGGTGAGAGTTTCTCTGTTATCATGTAATCTCAGTGGAATGTTCTGAGACCAGCAGGGAGGTGCCCTTTGGCCAGGGGGTGTGCAGAGAATTAGAACAGAAATGAGACAAGCCTTCCCTCTGCCTGGTTCTACCCGCAAGTCACCAGAACCATTGTGCTGAACACTCAGGCGATTACAGAAGACATTTATGATTTAAAAGATGATGTCCATCACCTGAGGGAACAGTCTCAGCTCACCAGCACAAACACAATTTGCACTTCAATAGTCTGTACCCAGGCTACTTCCTCGCTTGGCAATCAAACCACTTGGCATAAATCGGCTTAGTTAAAGTGGTGATTTGTACACAATTGATCATAGATTAAATTGCCACACAAAGTCATTTTAAGTATAGTTCCTGCGTGGACAGGGTGGGGTGGAGATACTGGGTGTGTGTCTTTAAATAGCACTCTGTGATGTCAGCAGAGTCCCCCTCTGTGTCATCTCTGTGACTTTGCTGCCATCTGTCCCACTTCAGAGACATGGACTGGACACATCTTCCTCTGACCGCCTGTCCTTATTTATAACTGTTTCTGTCAGTGTTTGTCTATTAACCTGACACAGTCAATCTGTCTGTATGTCTCTGTGTTAGGCAACTCATCTGGATGTCATTATTTCCAACACCACTAGTGTCAAAGATGTATTGGCCTGTGTCAAGTTTGTATCTTCATATTTCTTCAATTGATTTCTTTATCATCTTACTTCTTAATTGTTTGTCTTGATTAGGTTTTAATCGGAAGAATTAGAAACCTGCTGAGAAACAGTTGTCTGATGTGGATGGTCAAAGACTGCACATTCTGTAGGAGCATCTGTACACGTGTATCTGAACATATATTTTCCTGTACTGCATGATATAAACTTAGATCATGTGGGTGTGATGTTAATCAAACACAAACTTAATGTGCACATTTTCTTTGCTCACATGGCAATAATCCTGTGTTTCCTTTTTTCACATGGCAATGGTCCCGTGTGGCTCAGTTGGTAGAGGAAGGCACGTTCAACAGCAGGGTTTTGGGTTAGATTCCCATGGGGGACCAGTACAAAAAAGTAAAAAAATGTACTACTGTGGATAAGAGCGTCTGCTAAACGACTATAATGTAAAAATGTAATTTAGCCCTGCTCTCTCACTATTAAATGATACGCCTCACCTGTGGATTCTACATATCAGGCTTTCATGTGCTGCACAGTTCATGTTTTTCCATTCCCGTTAAGCTTGTTTGGAGTGTGGATCTGTCTGTCGCCCACGGCCGCCCACTCTCCCCATCTCTAGGTCTTGTCATCTTCTAGCGCTGTGTCTCTGTGTCGTGACAGCTCTCAGCTTTATCCTCCACTCTACACTACCGCCAATCTCTGCTCCCCTGGAATTAAAATTGTACCCCTCTCTCTTTCTTCACTCTCTCTCTCTCTCTCTCTCTCTCTCTTTTCCCATACATCCCTCCTCCTCAACATGTCTTCTCATTCTCTCTGTACTTGAGAGAAGCCTGCAGGAAGGGAGCTGTACAACGGAGAGAAGATACTGTCGTAGTTTCACTGTTCTACTACTAATAACCTGTTTTCAGGGCCAGTTTTCCTACCAGGTCATGTGGTCATGAAAAACTTCTGTTGTGTACAGGTTTAGAATACTTAACACGAACATGCACACATGCCCTCTCTTCCATGCTCCGTGTAGCTCAGTTGGTAGAGCATGGCGCTTGCAACGCCAGGGTTGTGGGTTCGTTTCCCACGGGGGGCCAGTATGAAACAATTTATGCACTCACTAACTGTAAGTCGCTCTGGATAAGAGCGTCTGCTAAAATGACAAAAAAATTTAAAAAATGCTCAGAGTTAACATGGTTTCTGTAGTTGACTAAAAAATAACCACATGCCAAAAATCAATACTTGAAATTAACTATTGAAAATAAAATGTATTAAAAAGGAGCCCAAAGGAGGGAGTATGGCAGATGTATGTAGGAAGTGGATTTGTAAAATACTGACAATCTATTCTGTTCTTGTGTTCTGGCTGTAACTATAGTGTGTGAGCATTAGGAATGAACTGCGTGGGAAGCAATGTGTGTGGGTTATGTTGTGTTTTTTTAACACTTGAGAAAAGGACAAATAATACAACTGTTTGTAAACCAGCACTCAGAAACCACTTTTACAGCCTGTCAAAAATTGTCAAAACATACTCCTGTATGGTCCCTTTACTTTGGTCTGAGTCCAAACTGAGCTCTATCATGTTGCTACTCATTAGACTAGCTACCAACTTCTGCAATGCATAGCTGTGAAAGTATGAAAGTAAACAACATCTACAGTAATTAAAGTAATCAAGGCAGCTTGGTTTGACAGAACACCAGTGTATGTACAGTATATAATTCCTCTAAGAACTGAGTTTGATGTTCAAGTTGAAGGCCAGATTTGGAGGCAAGGTTCAGACTTCATTCTTCACAACATTGTTTTTACTGCAACAGAATTACTGTTTCAACTAGTACTAGCCAGCGGTAACAGTTGTAAACCTTACAAAGTTCCTCTGATGGAAATCAAACAGGGAGAGAAAGCCACAAGCCACTATGAAATAGCACGGTAAATCGGCTTTAGAAAAACAACCAAAACAATTTTAGAAGTTTCTTCTTTTTATGTACACATTTATATATTTATACACTGTACAGATTTCAAAAAATAAATGGTTGATATATAAGATTGTGCACCCCACAGAAAGAAAGAACAGAAGAGAGCGAGAGAGGGGGCAAAGGAATGTCAAGGACATACAGATATCAACTTTCCCAATTAACACTGATGAGTTTTTACATACACAATTTTCATTGATCCTTTATACAGCGTCACATAAATCCTGGCCTGTTTTGGCCAATCCTCCTCGTATCTCCACCAATATCTGTGTAGAGAGCCCTAATCAGGGTGATTTCAATCTGAGTGAACACTGATCAGTTTTCAGATTTTTTTAGATCTGTGTTTTGAATTGTTATTGGGCTTTATAGGGCCAAGGAAGGACTCTACTAAGAATCTCAGCTCAATGCCTCAGAGGCAAACGGAACATACCTGGCTTCTGGACCTATTTTCAGCTCAGGTAAATCAAGTCAAATAAATAATTAATTTTCACCTGTACCATGGCATTTTACCTGGCTGATCTTTTCAATGTAATGCTGCGTCTGCATACGTAATGATGTATCGTTTGCTTGTGTGCTCAGCATGAGGCAGGGAGGTGACTGGTCCCAGTTATTTTAGGAGCAGATGAGTGCTCTGCTATGTTCTGCTCTGCCTGGAGAGATGGCAGTGATGCAATTGAGGTGATGATCATTGTCTGTCTCACCTTTTCTCTGTGACACTTGGGGAGCGAGAGCATATGGAGGAGAGGGGGAGGGGTGTTGTTTAAGAGCACCTTGTGCCAAAAAGCATGTGTGTCGCAGTGGGGTGTTGGAGTACGTCAGCACTGACGTCTGGAGACCTCGCCCGTCTTAGTCTTAGTGTGTTGGGCCAGACCTAGAGTGGAGGGACAGTGTGTTGTGGTTCTGTAAGCCACATATTAAATGATAAACCAGAACACAAGGCCCCTGATACACACAGGCCTGAGTGAAGGGTCCCTCTGCCCAACAGAACAGGGCTAGAATAGAATATGCTGTATGTGGTGTTGTCAGATATAATGAGCTCCCCTCTCCCTCCTCTTTCCTTCTCTCTTCACTCAGACTCGGCCCCCTCCCCAACCAACCCATAAAACCCCAAAAAATAGAAAGCAGACAAATGCCCTTTGTCACATTCCAACATCCCTGTAATCTTTACCTCCTTAGTGATCAGCGACAACATAAATAATTCACTGAACATCTTTATACAGAATAAAAACAGCTAAAAAAACAGATTCCATATTAAGAAAATTAACACACACACACATACACAGGAAATACAAACACACAAACTAACAGTCAGATGTTGACACACTCATACACACATTGCAAACACACACACACACACACACACACACACATCCAGTAGACACAAATAAACAGTCAAATGTAAACAGAAAATTCATTTAGTTGATATTATTACTCTTGTTGCTGTCATTCAGACCATTGTGTGATGAGAGAGAGACTGAAGCTTGGAAGAGGTCACACCAGGATGACATCAGGAGCAGGACAGAGCAAAGGGGGTCCGGCCACTAATGGAACAGCCTGGTCCTGAAGCAGGACAGAACAGAGGGGGTTTGGTCCGTAACAGCCGTGGTCCTGAAGACCCACTAACACCCTAACATCAGGAGCAGTACAGAGCAGAGGGGGTTTGGCCAGTAATGGAACAGCCCTCCACTAAGTCCCTAAACATTTATCCACTAACATTCTTATAACAATGTGTTCTATAACATTTACATTTGAGTCATTTAGCAGACGCTCTAATCCAGAGCGATTTACAGTTAGTGAGTCCATACATTTTCATACTGGCCCCCCGTGGGAAACGAACCCACAACCCTGTCGTTGCAAACGCCATGCTCTACCAACTGAGCTACAGGGGACTATAACATGCACACTAATGAATAAGATGTTGACTAACTGACTTACAGACTAACTGATGTAACAGACACAGGTTCCAATAGACAGGCAGAATTACACAACATTACTGACAGGGACAAACAGGTCATGTTAACAACCTTGATGGGGACAAGATCATTTGGCTTAGTGCACCTTTAGAAACAAAACTGACTTGGTTGGGAGAGGGGCATTTATTTATGGTTATCTGCAGTGGATGATGCAATTGCGAGAAAGCAGCTCAGATGGTTCATGTCAAGTTCCTCCTCTGCTTCCCTTTCCACACCAGGCAGCAGGCATTACCCTACAGACTGTACCCCTCTCCCTCTGTCACTGCTTATCCGCTGTGACCTCGCCAAGTCTTCAAACATATCCAGTAGAATACTGATGATGATTATTATCATCATTATTATCAGTAATATTGTCGTTATTCATTTAATAGCAGTGCCCCAATACTTTTACACGTGCACTCACACTTGCTCTCGCACTCACACTCGCATTCACACACTAGCTGACGCTGACGCACACGCACACGCACACGCACACGCACACACACACACACACACACACACACGGAATAATAGCTGTCTTTTTGCTTCTATTTACGGTCTCTGGAAGAACATTTTGATTGGTCTCTTTAGGCTTTTTAAAAAACAAAAACAAAACACAACATTGATGACTTTACTCTTTTTCTGTCCGTATTAATTTTTTCTCTCCAGAAAATAGGAATGTCTTTTTACATTTCCCCCATGGACCAGTGTAAATGATCAGTCATTTTCTCATTTTTCGATCTAGAACGTCATTTGGAGTTACAGCACATCACCCACAGCACGCATAGACAACAAGGGGGTCCAGTCAGGAAGAATCACTACAGTGGTGCCAGAGAAAGAGATGGGAGAGATGATGAGTGGGGTGGAGTAATTCCATTATGATCCAGACAGTCCATCTTCTATTCCACTGGCTTGCCTCTCTCTCTCTCTCTCTCTATCCATCCTTCCTGTTGTATTCTCTGTGGGTTTGCAGAAGGGAACGGAGCAAAGGGTCAACATGGGAAGCAAAAAAAAAAAAGATGAACAGCCAATCAGGTCGCTCCTGACGACAGAGAGAGCAGTGATTAGGGAGAGAAGACGCCTCCCCTCACTGCCACAGGAGAGTGATGGAGAGACACAGGATGAATGGTGGAACTGGATTCCTGGGCCCAGGTCAGTGGCTTGCCAGTCAGTCTTTCACACAGTTACAGATACAATGTTCCAGCTCCTTACGCAGGATTCTTATATTGTCTATTTGACCCTGTTTTTGTTGGTGGCTGAGGCTCACCCTAGGGCTGGCAGAGTGTACTGCTCCAGAGTCAAACAGGGTAAAGGTGAAAGGACAAAGGAGAAAAAACAACGGTTAAGAGGAAGGTAAAAGAAACAAGACTCAGAACGGACCCGGCTTAACAGAGGAGAGTAGAGGAAGGTGAAGTTCATTAGGGATCTGAGAGAGGACAGGTAGGAGGAGAGGGTGGCTATTTGTACCCATGTTCCGCAGCGAGTCAGCCTTCTGCATAACGATAGGGTGGGAGGGCAGGGGGCTGGGTGGGATGGTCTGGGTGGATGTCGCTGGACCTACAGTATCAGGCCTTGAGGGCATGCCACTGCTGCACGGCATTACGAGGTTTACCCATCATGTCCTTCCAGTGCTTCACCTCCGCCGGACCACTCTTCCACGAGAGATAGATCTGAGAGAGAGAGAGAGAGAGAGAGAGAGGAAAAGAGAGGGGGTGGGAAGAAAGAGAGAGAAAGAGAAGGGGAGAGGGGAGGAGGGCAGGGGGAGAGAGAGATGGAGTGAAAGAGAGCGAGGGGGGTGAGATGGATGATGTAAGCAGGATATCTGATGTCATGGTATGGCAACTGCTTGGCCTCCGACCGCAAGGCACTACAGAGGGTAGTGCGTACGGCCCAGTACATCACTGGGGCCAAGCTTCCTGCCATCCAGGACCTCTATACCAGGCGGTGTCAGAGGAAGGCCCTCAAAATTGTCAAAGACTCCAGCCACCCTAGTCATAGACTGTTCTCTCTGCTACCGCACGGCAAGCGGTACCGGAGTGCCAAGTCTAGGTCCAAAAGACTTCTCAACAGATTCTACCCCCAAGCCATAAGACTCCTGAACAGCTAATCATGGCTACCCGGACTATTTGCACTGCCCCCCCACCCCATCCTTTTTATGCTGCTGCTACTCTGTTAATTATTTATGCATATTCACTTTAACTCTACCCACATGTACATATTACCTCAACTACCTCAACTAGCCGGTGCCCCCGCACATTGACTCTGCAACGGTATCCCCCTGTATATATAGCCTCCCTACTGTTACTTTATTTTACTTAATGTCTGCACCTGTTGTATTCGGCACATGTGACCAATAAAATTTGATTTGATTTGATTTGATATTACTCATACTCAAACATGGCAAAACAGCGAGAGGTAAACTAAACTCTCTACAGTCTGGAGTGTCCCTGCTGTCACCATAAAGCTAGCCAATCACCCTAATCTGAATTTAACTCATATCGGGAGCTGAGGAGAGTCATTAGGATGAAACAGCTGTTTTACTCGCAGCACTTTTCAGAGCAGGGGAACCAGGGGAAAATATTTGTTTGAGAACTAGATTTATGTTAAGATAGAGAGATGGAGGCTCCCAAGCAAGCCACAGCTGTGTTGTACTGATGGTGATTAGACTGTGGGTGAAAGGGCCAGAGCCGGTGATGAGGCGTGTTTGGATTACTTAGGGGTCACTATCAGACACTGGATCCATAGTAAGGAAGCCTGTATCAGGGTTTCAGTGTGTCAGAAAATCAATGGGATAGTGCCTCTGTGTGCCACAAACAAGCCACAGAATCAATGGATATCAATCTCACTGTGTCAGTATGTAAGAGCAATCTTGAGACAGTGACTGTTAATGTGTCTTTGTGTTAGTGTGTGTAAGAGCAGGGTGTATTGTGTGGTGTGCGTGTGCATGTGTGTGTGTCTCAGTATGTGCCAGCAGGGGTCAGTGTGGACTGGTGATGTATGTGGGTGGTGGTCTGGGCATTACGAGGGGGCGGTACCTTGCCGATGACATCGTTGCGACTGAGCTTGTCCTTGTCCATGACGGTGATGATGATGGTGGTCTCTCGGAGCACGTGGGCAGGGACGTCGAAGGGGAAGGACTCGTTGAACACGGGGTTCAGACAGCGCTTCATTGTCACCGTCTTCTTCTTCTCCACACGCTTGTCCTTGTGCATCAGCCACAGCTTCACATAGGGATCTGATGTGGGAGACTTCACTTAAACACAGCCTGCATTCCAAATGGAACCCTAATCCCTATATAGTGCACTTATTTTGACCAGGGCCCATAAAAAGTAGTGCACTATCTAGAGCATAGGCTGTCATTTGGGACGCTGTATGGATAGAGAGATACTGAAACCACATTGACACATGTTAAGGTAGACAACAGGCTGTAGCACAGGAAATAGGTGATGACAGAGTACTGTATGTCCTGTACCGGAGGTGCCTCCGATGTCCATGGCTTTGAGGTTGCGGGCTTTGATGATTGTCACAGTGATGGTGTTGGCTTGGGGGTTGTAGCACAGTGACACCAGCAGGTCTCCTCGACTCCCCTGAGAAACACAATGACATCAGCCATTATGACATAACCACTCACCAACCCTCTCTCCCTCCATCTCCTCTATCCCCTCCCCTGTTCGCGCTCTCTCCTCCCCTCCTCTCTCCCCTTCTCTCTCCCTGTCATCCCTCCTTCTCCTTGTTCCCTCTCTCCTCCCCTCCCCTCTCATCTCCCCTCCTCCGCTGTCCCTCTGTGACTGTCCTTGTCTGTGTGTGTACTCTACTCACGCTGCCGTCGCTGCAGGGCTTCAGCTCCTTCCAGTAGGTCTGCTGGTTGCCCAGGTCCACCTTGTTAAGGGGGATGGACACCTCCCCGATGGGGTCGTTCCTGCTGAAGCGATCGTAATCCAGCACCTGCATATAGAGGGTCCTCTGGATAACCTTCTCATAGGGGAACCCTGGGAGGAACAGACAGATACACACACAGACAGATAAGAGCCTAATATGTGTTGGACAGAGGTTTAGGGAGTACTCTTTAAGACTTTATACAGGATAACCAATAGCCATAAGTCTAGTTATGTGTATTGTTCTAAGACCAGATGCGTGTTTTTTTATAATGTGCATTAGTTGTACTGTAGCTAGAGTATCTGTATTCCCAAATGGCATCCTATTCCCTATGTAGTGCACTACTTTTGACCAGGGCCCATAGGGCTGTGGACAAAAGTAGTGCACTATATATGGAATTGGGCGCCATTAGGTACGCATCCTCTGTGTGCAGGGTGATTTCACAGTCTGACCTTCAAACAGGAAGGTCTCGTTCCAGCGAGGGTTGAGGTTCTTCCTCTTGACCTTGGTTTCCAGCTTGTGCTTCTTGTCAGGCAGCAGATAGAGTTTGACGAAGGGGTCTGAGGTGCCAGAGAAGTCCTTGGCGGGAAGCTCCTGGCCCGTGAGGATCTTGACGGTCAGGGTGGAGTCTTGAAAGCTGTAGCCCACACTGAACTGGATCCGGCCCAACTTCTCAACCACAGGCCCTTCTGTGTCCTCTTCTGAGCCTGGAGAGAGCTGGGAGAGAACAGCAGCAGAGAACTCTAATATTTATCCAGCAAAGACGATGGTAGAGTCGCAATTGCATACTCCTCGCGTCCTCTCTCCTCGACTCCTTCTCAAAACCCATTGGAGGAGAAGGTCAGAGGGGAGGGACCTCTGGCACTCTCATCCAATGGGTTTTGAGAAGGAGGCGAGGAGAAAGGAGAGAGGACACGAGGAGTATGCAATTGAGATTCTCCCTATGTACACTCAACAACCCTCATCCCACTACCCCCACCCTTTCCCAGCATGGAACACACAGATGAAACACGCTCAGGGACATGGACACCCAAGGTGAACAAGGAGCTTTGTTCCTCATCCACAAGGGGGCAGTCAAACTGCACTGGAACTCACGTGCAATGCCGCCATCATGCTAGCCTAATGTTCAGATAATGTTATGTCATATGTCTGGGCTTTACTAAGCGATAAGGGAGGGAGCGATGGAGGAGAAGGCATATCTGGAGATGAGAGGCAGGAGATATTCTGTGAGTAGAGAGACCCCCTGCCTAACTGGAGCTGGGCCCCGAGGGAGGGAAGGAAATCCAGTTAAAAGGCTGCTATCTGATAGAGAGGGACCAGAGGCTTGGCCCAAGGTGCAGTTCCTGGAATTTAATCTCACATTCTGTATTCTTTCCCACACATCTCGCTGTCGCTATGCCTCTCCGTTCTAAATCTGATCACCTCTCCTCCTTCACTCTCTTGGTGTCTGATGTCTGTCTGTCTTTCATAAACACACACATGCGCACACAGACATACACACATGCACGCACACACCATTTTTGAGACAGCTCTCTCCTGAAATCTGTCCCACCTACAGTTGTCAAAATGTTTCAGGGTCAATCTATTTTTCGTTCTTTTTTATTCTCACGTACTTGTTGCCCAATCTCTTCGCCTGAAACCCACATAACCCACATAGATACAGAACCTCCACCTACACAAAATACAGCCACATTCTGAGCCCACCTACACTATACACATCTCTCCACCCCCAGACCATGTGAGTGTCAGAACACTAAAATAAACATATTATTAACATAATATGCACAAACACCAATCTCTTGTGACAGACTGGCGTAGCTGGCCAGCGCACGCAAGATTTGATTCTGTGTACCGGGATTATGCAAACACACTCACTTTTGTAAACGCAGACAAAACTCCTAAACTCCTGCATAGGTAGTATCACAATGACCCCAAAATAAAAAATAAAACAGTGCCTCAGTGATTTAAAAAAGTTATAGTTATTAACTAGGCCTAGTAAAAGACTTCGACCCACATAGTGAGAGACCAGAGATGGAAAGAGACTGGGAGAACTGCGGGTCTGATCCCACAGACAAGCCCTGTTGGCTCCCACTCAAAGTGAAAGTATCATCATTAAGCATCACTGGGACCTCCATAACGCAGACATGCAACCCACATAATAACACAGGGACCCATCCCCCACCCCCGCCCTGTCCACCCACCACTCACAGCACTGGGTTCTCAGCGTAATTACCAGCTTTTGCTGAATAACGCATATTCTATTGAGTTTCTCCTTTGTGATAGCCAAGCTGGGTTGGGAAATGTCACATAATTAGCATGTTTGTCATTTAAGACATCTTGCAAATCTAAATTCTGCTACAAGTGGGTGGCGGTGGGTAAACCCATAGACATGCAGAGAGGAGTACAGATGAACAATCATTAACACAGACAGGGAGGGAGGGAGCAGGTTTTCTTACCATGTGAATGTCGCTGGTGGTGACAGAGTTGGCCAGGTCTGTGACGGAGGGGTTCCCGAGGCGGCCTGCCTCATCTGGGGTCTGGCTCCCAGGCTTACCCAGGCTCCTGCTGGAGGGGAGGGACAGAGACACAGTCAGGACAAAGACTGGGAGAGAGGCCAACGGAGCACTAGGAGAATCCTGCTTCTGAAGACAAAGAGCCAGCCTCAGGTCTGTGCTGCAACCTGCAGCGCATCAAATGGCTTCCCACCACAGGTGAGGCTGCAAGGTCTTGTGTCAGATCTGAACGTGACTGATAATGTCCCCAGACTTGGGAGTAACACGGAATGTTAGTGACTTACACTCACACACACACACACACACACACACCTTCACACGCATACATGCACACTTAGTTCCAAACCTTAGTCATTACAAGCATGTAACAGTGTGATAGTTGCGAAACAGCCACAAAAATCGACACAATTAATGAACAAAAGACTAAAAGAGAAAAGACAGGGTGGGGGAGGACTGGGTGTTGGAAACAAAGTGCTCCCAGCCAATATGTTGTAACAGTCTGGTGAGCAGAAGACATGCTGAGCTATAGCAGGTGACACAAGTCAAGACACATAGACAGACAACACTAATTACAGATTAGGCACTGGAAAATGACAAGAGGAAGAGAGAGAGGAGAAATAGAGTGCAGGTGCACTGTAGAAATGGCGGGTAGAGGAAGTGAGATTAGGAATGGGTGCTGTGGGAAAGATGAGTGCAGAAGAAGTAGATTTGAAGATTTATCTCAGCAGAGGGTGAGAAAGAGTGAAAAGGGGGGATTTGTCTTTGTTAAGACCAGGAGGATTAACAGAATGAACAAAGTGAGGTTACTGACTCAAATGAACGTGAGACAGAGACAGACACCACAGCCTAGTTCAGTCGAAGCTGGAAGAGAAATAGAGGAGATAGGAGAGCATAAAAAGCCTGGAAACAAAAAAAGAAAGACTTTGTTTTAGTAAAAGAGCACAATAAGGACTAAAGAATAAAGACGAGAAACAGGACACGACATGGGCATGCAAAATCAGAGGGAGTCAGAGAGGAAGGGAGATGGCTGGAGGCAGTACATCAGAAAGGCTGAGAGGAGAAAGAAGTAGGCGAGCGAGAGAAAAGAGAAAAGGAGGGATAAGATGTGATGTGGGAGGGTGAAAACATAACACACACACAACATGTTAACCGCCAAATAGATACAAGGAACTAATCGCTTGGCTGAGTGAGGTTAATCCCTTTCCAGAGGGCTGTTAGAGGATGTATGTGGGCTGGTTAGCCATATGGGTTATCAAGGAGGAGGGAGGATGGTAACTGTGGTTCCTGAGGTATCAGTAAGTCTGTGGTTGAGGCTACAGATGTCTTTGTCCCTGGTCGTTTGAGGGGTCAGTCACTGTGGTAGGACCGCAGACATATCTCTGTCTGGTCGGGCTCTCTCTGTGTGAAGGGTCAGTCCACAAATGCAAATCCTGTATCTGTGGTTGGGTTGGCTGCCTAACACAAGAGAGAGACTGTAAATCTAGTGCGCTGTGTCCTTCCATAAACACTGGCTGGCTGGTGGGATTTCACTTATATACAGTACAACAGAGGCATGCAGAGTTTCACTGTGCCATTATACTCCAGTTTAGCACAGCGCAAGCAATGGCATGCACATACAAAACAATCTCTCAGCTAGTTTTTGCTGCCTGCAGGCCAGATTCTGAGATGTAAGGCCCATAGACTCTGAGAAACGCATGCTGCAATCTAGGGAGGACTACGTGCCATATCATATCTGTCTGTCCAGTGATCCATTAGTTTTCACTATAAGGCACTACATGGATGTTAGACAAGAAGGGGAATGACTAAAGGAATGGGGGTAAGTGGTGTAGCTAGAGTTGCAAAATTCTGGTATCTTTTCCATAATTCCCAGGTTTTCTAGAAATCCCGGTTGGAAGATTCCAGTAATCAGAAGGGAATAAGCAGGAATTCTAGTATCCTCCAACTGGGATTTCTGGAAAACCAGAATTTTGCAACTCTAGCTACACCACTTACCCCCATTCCTTTAGTCATTCCCCTTCTTGTCTAACATCCATTTAGTGCCTTATAGTGAAAACAAATGGATCTCTGAACCCTAGGCGTAGGTGATCAGTGAATAAATAAAAAACAGAGTTGATCCAATTGGCGAGGATAAGACTGAGTTATCCAGATCAGACGGACAAAGAGACAGAACGAGACAGACAGCCAGGGACAGACAGGGACACAGGCAGATAATGGAGTATGTATAGAGTAAGGATGGGGCATCAGACAGAGAAAGACACATACAGTGAATGCAGACAGATATACAGGCAGACAGACAGACAGGTAAGTGCAAGCCAAACAGGTCATATGGATGAGCCTGGTTCCAGGGGGGATCTGTTGATTGGCATAGCTGTGATTGGAGGGGAAAGCTGTCAGAAGGATTCACACCGTAGACTGCAGGGGAGGGGGTTGAATGAGGGGAGACATAAGATGATGGAAGGGGGAGAGGTCAAAGTGCCAAACATCTCAACAACTGATACACCTTGCGTCATCTTCCTTTTATCTTATCTTTACTGAATCGTGTACATTTTCTCATATCCAACATCTCCTGCTGTCCTTCCTCTTTACGCCCTCAGTCCTAATCTATCTTTTCCATTTCTCTTTCCTTCCTTAGTGTCTATGATCTCCCTGTATGCTGATTCATTAAAGGTTGGATATAACCCAAAGCCTGCTGTCGATGTCTAGAGAGCCGTGTCCCACCCACAGGGAATGACTGTCTCAGTCTGATTCAATCAACTTCCTACCATCAAAACAAATGACTACAAATAGGCTAACAGGAGGGACTCCATACATAGCACTCTAACTAGATAGAGTTAGGTAAGGTCATCTTCTCTCTTCTTCCATATGTTACTGTTAAGGCTAACTGATGAGGCTAACGTGGGGCTAATGTGATGCTAACATGTGGCATGGTTGTGTGTGGGCACAGTGAGGGTCATGTCACCCAGCTTGCAGTGGCAGGCAGCTGCCAGAGGTGGCTGATGGAGCCCGGACCAAACCCTTGCTGCTTCCCATCCCAAATCACCAGCTAAAGAATATGGGCTGCTCTGTTGGCACGGCAACGGCTGGAGAGACAGCAAGCACCTGGGATGGAGGGAGTGAAAGGAGGGTAGGCGTGAGGCGTGAGGCGTGAGGCATGGGGCGTGGGGCGTGGGGGCTTGGCAGGGGGTCGCAGAGGTCAGCAAACAGGCAGACACATCAACAGCAAGACACAACAGGATTGGAGGACATATGACAGGTGCAGGTTGAGTGCCTCCGGGGAAACACACACACACACACACACGCCACACACACACACACACACACACACACACACACACACACACACACACACACACACACACACACACACACACACACACACACACACACACACACACACACACACACACACACACACAGGGGCATGTGGAGGCAGGCGAGGCCTCTACTTCTCACCATGACCTGTGATAATATCCTTATGGAGTGTTACCTGAGCCCAGAGCCTGAGACCAAAGGGAAAAGGGAAGAGGTGGGGACACTCTGCTGCAAGGCTGGAGAGAGCACAAGAAGAAACCTCCCCCGCCCGCCCGCCCGCTCCCAGTACCCTCCCCTACCCACCTCCCCATGACACCATCCCCATGATTCACTTAAAGACCAATACAAGACACAAAGACACACACAAACAGACAGACGGACAGGCATATACACACAGGCCTCGATCCACTTCCCTACACTAAAACCTCACTCAGCCTGGTATCATACCCTAGTGTCAATAGAGAATAGTCTAATAATAACCAAAGAATAACCTAGTACCATACTAACCTAGTACCATACTGTAGATAGGTGTAGTTAGGTGTGAAGGTCACAGACACTCCCTCAAGTGTAATCACTTTGAAGGTCAAAGATCCTTTGAAATAAACAGACAGACCCTCACTGCTCTGAAGTGTGACCTACTAGTAGGCCAGTGGTGTAGTGCTGCCGGAGCGTGAGGGAGCTCCCTCACTTTTTTCAATTTGAGAATAGACAACGCTGGTAAACATATTTCTGGGAAAGAAAATTGAAGCTGAATCAATGTCCCGCAAGATCACATAATGATTCATTTGTATTTTACATAACATAACTGAATCTAATATCATAGCATAGTAGGCCTATAACATTACTGTTACACCAAAAACACCTCCTCATTTCTAATGACATTTTAGGATGGTTAGCTGAAGTCACATTTACAGTATTATCTCATGCAGCCAAAAGTCAACTGCGCGCGCCACTAGGCAGGTTATACTGTATGCTTTGATTGAAACAAAATACAAGAAAGGCTAATAGTTTGTTAAAATCATCTGCTCTAATTCGCTTACAAAACAGTAATTGAAGAAGCTCTAAATGCATATTCCCATGAAACTGATTGAGATCAAATGATTGGTATGGAGACACAGTTTGAACATTTGACCAGTAAAACGTGAAGAATGATCATTCACCATTGACAGTGATGATGGCCTATTTTGAAATTAGATATGCCTAACTTGGTGTTCTTTCTGCATTTTGGGGTAGGGCCCGTAAGTAAGCATTTCACTGTTAGTCTATACCTGTTGTATACAAAGCATGTGACGAATAAACATATAAAATATACAATTTTCTTGAGACAATATGTGTGGGCATAGGGCAGACGTTGCAATTGGAAGATGCATTTTAATATTCAATAGGCTATATCTGTTGGTACAAACTTGGATTGAGAAATTATGACATAATGTTTTTACAAATTGTTTCACTCGCACACCTAAACAACAGCACTACACCACTGTAGTAGGCTAACATTGAGGAAGGTTATGTGTGTAGTGGACTGCTGTAAACATCATAGGAGGGCTCTGATGGGCTCTGAGTACTGATGGGAAGCCAGCGAAATATGAGCTAATGTACAGTAATGACTTGTCCATTGATATGAGGTAGTGTAAAGTAAAGACTAGTTCATTGCTCTCTTTCCCTCTCAAATTCAATGGTTATATAATTTATCCTTTAGGGGTTGGAGTAACCATGGTTACCAAACTGTACCGACGGTTGTATGG